TTTTGCCTTTTTTTTTTTTTTTTTTTAAAGAAACTCATAATCTTTGGCTCCATGTAATAGAACTCTGGCAGCTATTTGAACTGAGTGAAAAACTTAGGTAGTTTTATTATTACTCATTAGAATGAAGCAGTAACTATGGAAAGCAATAGGAGTAAGCTTCCATGCTTCTACAAATGCTATTTTTCTTTGAAATCTGTTCTATTGCAAAAGCACTGTTGATGGATTACTAAGGTATACCTTAAGTTTATTTTGTTTTATGTACTAAGTTTTTGGAAGAAGAATTCCATTTAACTTGATCAGTGGTTTGTTCTTTAAGTGTGATCACTAGTCCAGCAGCCTCAGTATTACCTGCTAGTAAACAAGTGTTTGGCTACTTGTTAGAAATGCTAATTCTTGGGCTCTCCCCCTACTCCTTCCAAACTCTGGAGTAGGGCTGGAAATTTCTTTTCACATGCTAAAGTTTGAGAATCACGGAAGTGTATAATCATTCCTATCATTGAAATCTTTCAGACCCTGGGAAAGGCTGGTCTGTACTTCCTTTATTTCTTCTACTCAGTATTTGATTCTGGCTATGTCCCAGGCACTGTTTAGGTACCTGGGCAACACTAGTGGGTATGAGTGACAAAGTCCTTCTCCTGCAGTTTACATTCATAGGAGGGAGACTGACAATGACCAAGATTGTGATAGATATGCTGTGGAAAATTAGAATTAGATGGTAGAGAGTGTATTGGGGAAGGCCTTTCTGAGGAGGTGAAATAGAAGCTGAGTTTTGAATGACAAAAAGGGCCACCTATATGAAGATCGGTGCAAAGGGCTTTTAGAAATGAGTTTGGTCTGTTTGAGGAGCTGAAGGAAGGACTGTGCCTGGAGTGCAGTGAGCAAGGGGAAAAAGGTATGAAATGGAGAGAGAGAGAGAAGCCAGATTATGTAGACCCTTTAAGGACTTTTTTCTCCCATCTTCGTTTTTTTTTTTTTTTAAATTGTGAAATACATGTGAAATTTACCATCTTAACCATTTTTGTAGTGTACAGTTCAGTGTTATTAAAGACGTGCATACTGTTGTGCAACCATCCCCATTATCCATCTCTAGAACTAAGACTTTGAGTGACGGGGGACACTTTAGGGAGGTTTTAGGCAGAGGACTGAACTAAACTGGCCTTTGCAATAAAAGGATTACTGACCACTAAGTTGAAATCTGATCAAAGGAGGGCAAGAGAGGAAGCAGCAAGATCAGTCAGGAGAGTATTGCAGTCATCGAGGTGAGATATGGTGATCTGGCAAGGATAAAAGATAGTAAGGTTGGGGATGCTGAGAAGCATTCAGATTCTGGTTATATATATATATTTAAAGATTTTATTTATTTGACACAGAGAGAGAGACAGTGAGAGAGGGAACACAAGCAGGGGCAGAGGGAGAGGGAGAAACAGGCTTCCCGTGGAGCAGGGTGCCCGATGTGGGGCTCGATCCCGGGACCCTAGGATCATGACCTGAGCCGAAGGCAGACGCTTAACGACTGAGCCACCCAGGCGCCCCCAGATTCTGGTTATATTTTGATGATCAAATTAACAGAATTTGCTGGTTGTGACATGTGAATGATTGTGGCTGATATATAAAAAAGGGGTCAAAGATGGTATCAGGTCTTTTTTTGTCTGAGTAATTGGTGGAATTCAAGCGATTCAGGTTTGAGGAAGAAAAGCACCATTTGTTAAATTAGAAATGCTTCTTGAATATCCAAGCAGGGATGTTGAGTAGGCAGTTGGATAAGGGAGTCTGGAGTCAGGGAAGAAGTCAGGTTGGAGACATGATTTTGGGGCTTGTCAGCATTTGCATGGTAATTAAAGCTATGAGGCTGAATGAGATCATCTAAGTAATGAGTGGAGAGAGGGAGAGGTCCAGGACTAAATTCAAGGGTAGGAGAGCTTACATGAGAAGGAGCAGCCAGTAAGGTAGGGAGAGAACCACCAGAGAGTGATATCCTGGAAGGCAAGAGAAGAAAGTGTTTCAAGGAGAGAAAAATCTATCGACTGTGTCAAATGTTGCCAAGATGTTAAATAAGACAAGCCCTGAGAATTGGCCATTTTAGCACATTTTAGCAATGTGGTCGTTGGTAATCGTGACAAGTTGTTTCAGTGCTGTAGTGGGTTCAGAAGCCTGGTTGAAGTGTGTTAGAGATACGGAGAAGCAGCAGAGACAGTATAGACAATGTTAGGCCAGTCTTCATTTAGAGACATAGCGGATCTGTACAAAATACCTTAACCTAATGGCACAGGTTAATGTATCAGAGCTTTAATGTTAAAAAATTTGTTATGTTAACATCTCCGTATGTATGTGTTTGTTATTTCAATTTTCCAAATGAAATTTTGAGATGAAGTTCAGCCAGTTGCAAAATCGGCTTAAGAAAGGTATGTTTATTTAAAAAGTTTTTTTTAAAAGATTTTGTCAGAGAGAGAGAGAGCTCCCGCGAGAGAGCACGCGTTGCATGCATGCACAAGCCAGGGGCATGGTAGGCAGAGGGAGAGAAGCAGGCTCCCTGCTAAGCAAGGAGCCTGATGTGGGACTCGATCCCAGGATCCTGGGATCATGACCTGAGCCGAAGGCAGATGCTTAACCAACTGAGCCACCCAGGTGTGAAAAATTTTTTTCTTTTAAAGATTGGCTTATTTTAGAGCGAGCAAGTGCAAGTTGTGGGGGGGAGGGGCAGAGGGAGGGAGAGAGAGTCCTAAGCAGACTCTGTGCTCAGCTCAGAGCCCAACCTGGGGCTCGATCCCATGAAATCACGACCTGAGCTGAAGAGTTGGACACTCAACCGACTGCACCACCCAGGCACCCCAGGAAGGCTGTGTTTAGATTTTAGAAGGAGTCTTCCTGATGCCCGTTAAATAGCCTTAGAACATTCCTTTCTTTAATCAAACACTCTACTTTGAGATCATTTGAATGAAAGTGATGTTTCCATAAGACATTTTCAACAATGTTGGTGGCCAAAGGATACTAGCTTGGTAGACCTTTCTGTATCCTCCTGCAGGGAAAACACACAAAAATTTTAAGGCTCTCTTCAAACTTCAGTTTACTTTGTTTTATTTAGCCTATTAAGTAAAATACTCTGCTTTACTGTCTGATTTTTAAAATTACATTTTACAAGGTATATTTAAATACCTTGAACTTTAGAGCAGCCAACTCTTTTCACTGTAGGTACTTATTTAAAGCAAAAGCTTAAGTTTCTCATCAGTGAAGGAATGATAATCTTTCACAAGAGAAATAGATTCCTGATTGACAAAACACACATTTTTTCTACTAAGGAAGTGGAGGGAATATTAAAATGTTTTATTGAATCTAAGATGCCATTATTTGTAAAATGCACCATTATATGTATTACTAAGAAAGAAAAAAAAATGCCATTTAGCACTAAGATGCGATAGATTGTAAGAGATGTGGGAATGTCGGGGACAAAAGTTCATCTTAGAATCAATGAAGCACAGAATTTGAGCTCCAGGAAGGTGAATTCAGGTTCTGGCTGTGTTTCTAACTAGTTATGGGACCACCACCAAGTCACATAGAATATCTTTGCCTCAGGTTCCTCACCTGTATGGTGAGAATAATAATAACTGATCCACCTGTCCTCATAGGATTATAATGAGGTTGAAATGAGATGAATGAGAGTTTTTTTTTTTTTTTTAAGATTTTATTTGAGAGAGAAAGAATGAGAGACAGCATGAGAGGGAGGAGGATCAGAGGGAGAAGCAGACTCCCCGCTGAGCAGGGAGCCCGATGTGGGACTCGATCCCGGGACTCCAGGATCATGACCTGAGCTGAAGGCAGTCGCTTAACCAACTGAGCCACCCAGGCGCCCCAAATGAGAGTTATTTTGAGAAGTGGAATCTACTGGGCAAATTCAGGGTATTTATTTGATTGAAATTAACTGTTAGATCTGATCAGGTGACTCAAAGTTTCTGAGCCTTGTTGTCAGGTTTAAAATAGAATTCAATTATAGACATTTGGAAAGTATAACATTTTCTTCTAAACCATTTTCAGTCAATCTGGAAATACTTTTTTATTGTAGTTTCAGAATCAAAGAGAAAACTCAAAGCTAATATAACCCAATACTCTCATCATTCAGAATTAACAACTGTTAATATTCTGTAACTGCTGTGATCTTTTTCAGCCTTATTTTGATATATTTATGACATAAAGAGGTAAAAGGATATAATAATGAACATTCATATGCTTGCCATTGCCAGTGCAGGTGAAGCCCCCTATGTGGAAACGGTATCTTATGTTTAGATTAGCATCCTGTCTTCGTAATAGCCTAGTGATTTAGGATACTGTTTCTCTTGTTTCAGTCTTTAAAACTTGTAAATAAGCAGGTTAACTGCATCATATGTGTTTTATCCTGGAATATGTGGGAGAAGCTACTTTGTGCTAGTGTTTCCTTGGTTTGAGTTTCCTCAAAATTCTACCTGTGGCTTTGGAGATACAGCTGTATAAATTCAAAATATGACGCCTGTGAAATCATAATCACAGCTAGCCTATTATTTGTCAGGCATTGTACCTAGACAGTTTTTGTGTGTTTTCTTTAAGTTTCACAATAATTCTGCTGGTTAGGTGTTTTCTTTTTTTTTTTTTTTCCTTGAAGATTTTTATTTGAGAGAGGAGAGTGGCCGGGGGGGGGGGGGGGGGGCAGTGTATGAGCAGAGGGAGAAGGAGAAGCAGACTCCCACTGAGCAGGGAGCCCAGCAAGGAGCTTGATCCCAGGACCCTGAGATCATGACCTGAGCTGAAGACAGGTGCTTAACTGACTGAGCCACCCAGGCACTCCAGGTGTTTTCATTTTATAGATTAGGAAGGCATGGCTCAGAGAAGTTGAGTAACTTGGCCGAAGTTCCACAGCTATTAAGTTGTGGAGCTAATGATTTTAAGTAAGGTCTGCCTTATACCACAGCCCACATGTTCTATACCATGCTGCCTCAATCCTTGTCAGTAATCACAATGTGTTTCTTTTGTAGGCAGAACCCAGACACCACGTTTGAAGTCTATGTTGAAGTGGCCTATCCTAGGACAGGTGGCACTCTTTCAGGTATTTGCATGTTTGATTATGATATGTGTTTATTGTATGAGATAGCTGTGCAGGACATCGCTTCTCAGCCTTTTGGCTAAGATCAGGTGGAGATAGCTGTGCATGTGGGATATGTGAATATTCTAAACTGTGATTTATCTTTAAATATATTTGTCTTTCCCTTTTATTCCACATCATCCTAAGGAATGGAGAATAAGCACAGTGAACAATTTAAGAGTCACTGCCATGACAGGCTTGAAGTATGGCTTTATTCGTTGTAATCATTGAGTTTTGGTTTGTATCTTTCACAGATGCCTGGAAGTCAGCTGCTTAGTATGAAATATTGTCACCTTGCTAATGAGGAAGGCTTAGAATTAGGTTACAAAATAATATAAAGGGAAATCTCTGCCACTAAACTGGAAGGAGATGTTTGAAATGGATTTAATGTAGTAAATTTTATGTCTGCTGGTAAAAGTTGGAAATGAGTTGAAGAAAACACCTCTCCTGGCTTTAGATTTTGGACTAATTTGGATGTGTATTCCTGGACAAGGGGGTCTCAGATAAGGTTAGAGTATCTTGCAAAGACTGAGTATATTCTCAACTAAAATCCTTCTTGGTTAATGAGAAAAAAAAACCCCTATAACCTAGTGTTCTTTTTCTTGGTAACTAAGAGAGTGATGCATTTGCCAGAGGGATGTCAGGGAGCAACTCTTGGTCCACACACACAAACAGTTGTGTGTATTACTTGGTGTTCAGGGAGAGTGAATTTACTTGGATTAGAAACTTGGAGTAATCAGGATTCCAGTGGTATATGCTCTTAATTGGCTATGCAGTATTTTCTATTTCATTATGTTAGACTGTAATACTCATAAAATAGCTACCTTTTATTGAGTATCTGTTCCTTTGTCCTATGTGTCTGACATTTTATCCTTACAATACAACCCTTTAAAGATAGTTGGGTGGCAGCTCCATTATACCTACGAGAAAATAGAATCTCCGGTCAAATAATTTACCAGGATCATCACTGTGTAAAATAACCATGATTTTTGGTTTCAAGTCTTCTTTACTCTGCTAAGTTGCCTTCTTGAGGGCCATGACCATGTTGGGCACATCTCTCCATGTCATCTGCAGGGCTTTGCATAATGTCACTAATATTTGTTAAAATGAATGAATTTCTCTTAATAGCAAAAGTGATATAACTGTGTGTTCCACTTTCTGGATTATCTAATGAAGGTTACAAATTTGTGGTCATTCTAGAAGTAGAATGTTAGCATCCATGTTAAGTTATCCCTCTTATTCTGCAAACCATTGCTTTGGGAAGCATCTGTTATTAGGTACATACCTGGAGCAGCACCTCTGTGGGCCTACTTTACAGAGTAACCATTTGATGATGGCTATGATTTGACAGATAAATTTAGGGACAGAATTTTTCTTATTTTACAGTTGCTGTTTCCTCTTTCAGTGTTCTAGGATTTTTTTCCTCCCAATGTTAAAATGAATTTTTTTGGGAAAAATAACAAAATTAGAGAAGTACAAATAAGATGGAAGAATGAACAAAATGCAAAGTCTTTATCTTACCCCAGTCATCTAATTCCTCTGTGCCATAGACAACTTCTTCCGTGTTTAACCCTTTAGTATATTTTAAAAACTTTTAATTTTGAAAATATTTTATTTATTTTTTTTAAAGATTTTATTTATTTGAGAGAGAGAGAATGAGAGAGAGAGAAAGCACATGAGAGGGGAGGGTCAGAGGGAGAGGCAGACTCCCTGCCGAGCAGGGAGCCCGATGCGGGACTCGATCCCGGGACTCCAGGATCATGACCTGAGCTGAAGGCAGTCGCTTAACCAACTGAGCCACCCAGGCGCCCTTTATTTTATTTTTTTAAAGATTTTATTTATTTATTTGACAGAGCTAGAGCACAAGTAGGCAGAACATCAGGCAGAGAGAGAGAGGGAGAAGCAGGCTCCTCGCCGAGCAGAAAAGCCGATGCCAGGCTCGATCCCAGGACCCCGGGATCATGACCTGAGCAGAAGGCAGATGCTTAACTGACTGAGCCACCCAGGTGCCCCTTGAAAATATTTTTAAAAGATGGAAGTTATAAGAATGGTCAAGTACATATGCCCTTTCCTCAGCTTCGTCAGTTGTTACCCAATTTTGCCATATCTGCTTTATCACTGTATATGTATGTACATATTATTTTTGCTGAACCGTTTGAGAATAAATTGCAGATATAGTGACCCTTTATCCCTACATACTTCAGAATATATCTCCTAAGAATTTTCTTACATAACTCTAGTACAATTATTGAAATACAAGAATTTAATGTTGATAGAATGTCAGTTGTCCATGTTTAAATTTAATCAGTTGTGCCGATAGTATCCTTTATAGCATTTTCCTTTCTGATCCAGAATCCAATTATTCAGGATCATGCAGTCCATTCAGCTTCACATGTATTTAATTTCTTTCAGTAAGTAATAGTTTTGCAGCCTTTCCTTACCTTTTATCACAGACACGTTTTGAAGAATTTAGGTCTGTTTTGCAAAAGGTCTCTAGATTTGGATCTGATCATATCCTCATGATTAGATTCAGGTTATGAAAGTTTGGCAGGGGTCTCTGTGTGTTACTGTGTATCATATCAGCAGGCACATGATGTCTGTCCCTTATTTGTGGAAAAAAAGTACATGGAAGTTACATGTACAGTTTAGCAAATAATGATCATGTGCCCATGTTACTGCTTTCCAGGCTAAGAAATATAATGTTTCCTGGGTCTAAGGAAATACTGTTACTGCAGGAGGGCTCCCTGCCCTGGCCCTGTGCTTTAGTGGGCCCTACTTTGGCACTCTTCCATGGGGTAGAGTCTGTGGGCCCTGTGGGACATGCCTGCTTAGAGCCTGAACCTTTCCATGGTAGACCATACTTTAAGTACCTAGGATCTCAGAATTTCTTGCCCAAATGGCCCTGAGCGTGTTTCCAGAGCCTGTGTGAGTCCCTTTCCTGGGGTCCATACTTCTGAGGGTGGGCTGGGCTGCTGGTGTATACAAGGGATGGCCTGAAAGTGGCTGTGTGTGGAGAGTAGGGTATGGGATGGAACTTGGGACTTGTGAGTGGAGGTGACTGCATGCTTGTGTGTGTGAGGTCCTTGGCTGTGTGGGATGGAGAAGAGGGTGATGGGTGGTGGACCAGTGGCCAATTCTCCCTGGATCAGCATGTTTCTGCATGGAATTCTGGGGAATCCCAAAATTCTCTGTATGAATCTGGCTTTCCAGGCAGTTATAAAGGTATATTTGTCATGATAGGAGGATAGAACATATTTTATTTAATATTTTGTAAGCTTGTTTTCTTATCTGTTAAATATTAACACATATGGTATGAGGGCCTCTATTTGTACTCTTGCTGAGGCCCTGTAAGTGTTGGAGGTGGATTTGGTTGGCACCCCAGAGGTTCCTCCTTTCCTTTCTCCAGAGGTAACTACTATCCTGACTTTTATGATAATCATTTGTTTTTCTTTATAGTTTTATGACCTAGGTATATCTCCTTGAAAAAAATAATTTATTGCTTGCTTCTGAATTTTATAGAAACAGAATTATTATTTGTGTAGTTTTGCTGCTTTTTTTGCTCAAAGTTATGTTTGTAAGGGTTCTTCATGTTGTGTGTAACTATAGTCATTCATTTTCATTGCTGTGTAATACACTGTAGGATTATATCACAATTTATCCGTTCTGTTGAAAACACTTGAAGTTGTGTGCAGTTTTGGGCTATTACAAGCAATGCTGCCGTAATCATTCCTTACACGTGAATCCTGGCGCGCTTAAATGTACATTTCCTTAGGATAGATACCATACTTGATTACTGGATCATTGCTAACTTGTTTTTCAAAATTATGCTAGTCCACACTCCCTCCAGCAGTGTTTGATAGTCCTTATTACTCTACAACTTCATCAGTCCTTGGTACAGTTAGAGGTGTTGATTTTTGGCAACCTGATGGTTATATAGCAGTATCTCCTTGTTGTTTTTATTTGCATTTTTCTGATGACTAATGAGACCAAGCACCTTCTGCTTATTGGCCTCTTGAATAGCTTGTTTTTTAAAGTGCCTGTTCAAGTCTCTTGCTAATTTTTCTTACTGAGTTTTCTGCCTTTTCCTTATTGATTTTTAAGATTATATAATGGATACTAATTATCTCATTGTATGTATTACAAATATCTTCTTCCATTCTATGGTTTGTCTTTCACTCTCTTTGTTTTAACTTTGATCTTAACTTCTTGATTTTAATATAGTACAATTGACCAGTATTTTCCTACTCCACAGTTATGAAGATATTTTCCTCTAAGAAATTTATGGTTTTGCCTTTCACGTTTAGGTCTTTAATCTATTAAGGATTTTAGTTTTCTCTCAGATGATGAGCTAATTTAAAAATTGGGAAACTAATTAGGGGCGCCTGACTGGCTCACTTGGTAGAGCATGCAACTCTTGATCTCAGGGTTGTAAGTTCAAACCCTACATTGGGTGTGGAGCCTACTTGAAAACAAAACCAAAACCAAAAAAAAATTGGGAAACTAAACCCGCATTACTGGGGTCTGCTACTCCTTTACTTAAAACATTTTAATAAAATGATCAGGTACTTCTAGGGGCACCTGGCTGGGTCAGTTGGTAGAGTGTGTGACTCTTTATCTTGGGGTTGTAAGTTCGAGCCCCATGTGGGTGTGAAGGTTACTTAAAAAATAAGGTCTTAAAAAAATAATCAGGTACTTCTAAATCATACAAAAAAAAAAATCACCTCACATTAAAAAAAAAAAAAAAAGATCTGAGAAAGGCCAGTAAGAAATATTACTAGACTTTCGGGGCGCCTGGGGTGGCTCAGTTGGTTAAGCGTCTACCTTCAGCTCGGGTCATGATCTCAGGGTCCTGGGGTCGAGCCCCCCGCATCTGGCTCCCTGCTCAGCGGGGAGCCTGCTTCTCCCTCTCCCTCTGCTCCTACCCCTGCTTTTGGTCTCTTGTTCTCCCTCAAATAAGTAAATAG